CTATCTCACTTTTGCAGATTTATGCACTTATCCCCTTCTTGCACCAGAGTCTTCAATTATTACAAGAATGAAATATTTACAGAGTTGTAGGAGTGTATTCAGAGATTTAGGTATAATGACTGTTTACGCTGTATATATCTACGAATGTTTAATGTTTTATTTTAAAAATAGAGAACTGTTTCCAGACCACATTAGTCACGGTTATAACACTCAAAATTTAGATGTTAGATGTCCTATACATAGATTAACTTTAACAGAAAAATGTCCACACTACATGTGCCTTAGATTGTATAAGAAGCTTCCCAATAGTTTCAAGAGAATTGAACAACAGCAACTCTTTAAGAAAGAAGTGAAAAAACTTTTAACAGACTTGGAGCAACAGACATACTTGAACCAGTGTTAGTACCGCCACCCTGGCAACGATGTAACATTAGTAATCGGACATGTCTAAAAGTAGCATCCGATGTGTGGCCCCATCCGGCTCCACAAGGAATAGGCATGGCATGCATCCTGGAAGATTCATGTAAGGATTTCGTCCCAGACTTCGTACAGCAAATATACATATTTTTATATAAGCTGAGTGAGTTTCTCTCATCCATCCAACTTACACCCTCCCATCACAAAAAGGTTGTGACCGAAGTTGTGACAATATCTGTTGATGGATATTTTTTTTTATTACCAAACACAAGGGACAAAAATTGATTTCAGATTTATGATCAGCTACCACAAAAAATCATCAAATTCAAAGAGGGTCACAGAAATAACAGATAATAGAAATAAAAAAAATTATCATAATTGCACTGGAGTAAAGATTACTTGTTGATCGATGTTGATTTTTATTTTTTAATGTTGTTTTACCTGTTTCACTGCTTCATCTTAAGATTTTACTTATAGCGTATTTCATTGGTAGAGCAAATGCAACACTCGTTTCGCACTGACTCTTTAAAAAAAAGAAACTGCACGCGTGCAGTCCCAATGAAACATCATCGTACTGCATTACATTCTTTACTAGAAGCCCTAAATGTTCTTCATGTTCACTGGTTTCACTGCTGGTGCTACTTTCTATCAAGGCAATTGCCATCAACGCGATTTTTGACACTTTTGGTAGTAGATTTGCAGTCAAATATAAAAAACACAATAAAAAAATAAAATTTGTTAAGCAGCGTTTTCCTAGCAACGCACATTTTACGCAGCGTAGAACGTAATTCGGTCGGCGTAAAACGCTGAGGACATGTCTAATGAAAATCAAATGGAGGCGTTTTCCTACACTGCGTAAAAACGACTTGCGCTAGCGTAATACGGTCGACGCAACTGAACGACTGCGTGGAGAGCAGTCTATTCAGTTGTACGCTGCGTGTTGGCAAAGAAAATACTCTGTTGTATATTGCTTTTCAGGTGGCGAAATAGGATGTCGCACGCGATTACCATGATTCCTTACTTAAATCTTTTCTCACAAGATTGAGGAGAAATGAGATTTGCTGCCTTGTAACTATAAAATATGCTTTTTAAATTTTACTTCGTCGTCGAGATGTTTATGGATAAGTATCTCTAAATGCTCCTTCGCTTCTGCTTTTTTGAAATAATTGACTAGCAGAATTTCTAGTCCTATCATAAATCGTAACTATTATATCAATCTCTTCTTGCAAATCTTCATCTTGTAATAATAGGGCTGTTTTTGCAGAAATAATAAACCAGTCAGAGTGAATTTCATTGGTTGAAACTAGTTTTCTGACTGTTTCTGATTCTTTTCAACCAATGAAATTCGCTCTGACTGGTTTGTGATTTCTGCAGAAGCAGACATAATAATAAAGCCTCGAATAAAGCGAAAGCTAATTTCTCGAGTAATTTCTTTATTGATATACTCATCGCGACGATCGGGACGCAACTGACAATCCTAGGAAAACACTTTTATTTGTCACTCATTTGTAAAACGTCACTTATCAAGTCAAAACATAACCAGCGAAAATTGATTTTTACAAGCTACTGGCTCTACTGACTTGTAAAATTGACAGCTAAACTGTAAAAACTTTTTATTTTCAACCACATATGTAATGTTGACATTGCAGGTTTTTCAAAATCTTGAAAGTGTCACATTTCTGGACTTTGACATTTATCGGGACGGTAATGCATATGCCTGCCTAGGACGGAATAGTATATTACATACCGAGGTGGGAAGTGTTTCATTACTGTCGAGAGATTTTAGTTAGACCGAGGCACAGCCGAGGTCTAACTAAAATCTCGAGACAGTAATGAAACATTTCACCGAGGTATGTATACTATTTTATTTACAATCATTCGAATTTTAAAATTTTTATTTGAATTAAAACTAAAAAATACAATAATTGACAATTTCATTTACTTTCGACCCACGGGTCGAAAGTTTACTTTCGACCCGTGGGCCGAAAGTAAAAGTCAAAAAATACAATAAATTTTAAAAATTTCATTTACTTTCGGCCCACGGGTCGAAAGTAAACTTTCGACCCGTGGGCCGAAAGTAAAAGTCAAAAAAGTGACATTTTCGAATTTTTTAAAAGTCAGTAAAGTCAACATTACATGTATGATTGTAAATAAAAGCATTTTCCGTCCGGGACGGCAAATGCTTTTCCGTCCCCATTTCCCTGCTCGTTCCAAATTGATAATTTTCATACAGCTCTCACATATAATAATAAAACCACATGTATTACATGGAACTAATTAAATCTATTCACTTATTTACATTAATTGTTAAATTAGCATTGTTGTTTATAATGGAAATCTTGAGACCATCCTGTTGGAATTGTGTTTCGTTTGGAACTATTATCTCTTGCGCTTGCGGATGAGTTTCCGCATGTGATGTACTTGTGGATGCACTGGACAACTGAATACCTTTGGAAGTAGAGGATAGCATCAGAGCAGTCTTACTTTTGTTCTCCAAAGATGACTCTATGTAGCCTTCAGCAACCGTGCTCGATTTCCACCCTCCCAGTCTTTTGAGTTGCAATAGATCGGCCCCGTTGTCAACCAATAAGGTTGCGGAAGTACGACGAAAAGCATGCCCTGTAAAAGTTTCAATTTTTGGAAGCTTCAAAAAAGCAGCTATTTTATGTGGAAATTTTGAGATTGAATGATAGCCAATTGCTTGGTTATGTAATTTCCCATTTCGCCATTGAACAAATAACCTGTCATTTTTCAAATTTTTCCGCAAAGTGAGGTATTTGTGGAAAATAGCAACCCAATCTGGATCGCTTATGATAAACGATCGACTTGTGTAAGTTTTTGTGTGTGGAATTTCTATAGCGATCTTTCCTTCCAAAACGTTGACGTGCTCCATTTTCATCTTGACTAGTTCATCGCTCCTACATGCACCCGACACACCAACAATTAGCGCTACCTGAAACCAGATAAAAATAAAATGGGTAACCTAGCTATAGCATACAGAAAATCATTTTGATTTTCGCATTTTTATCTTCTTTGTATATTTTTTGAAAACCTACCTTGATGCTAATGAATTCTTCAGCTGCCTTCGTGAGGAACTCGTTAATGTTTTCTCTGGAAAAAACGCTCGACTTTTTCGGCTGAAAGCCCAGATTTTGCCGCTTCAAAAAAGCTATAAGTTTTGCGTAATTGGAGATATCAACTTTCTCTTTCAATTTAATCATGGTTTTCAACATACTGTAAGTCGACCATAAAGTCGAAGGCTTCTTTTCCTTAGATAATTCGCCAAAATACGCCAACAAAACGGTCTCCGAGGCAGTATTTCTCGTTCCTTTCTGGCTACACCATGCTTCCAATATTTGAAAAGCCTTTTCGTACCGAAATTTGCTTTTTGCTGGAAGCAAACTCTCTCCAATCCTGTCTGCTGCTTCTTTTAATTCAGGTGGGGTACAATCCATCGCTTCATCTTCACTTTCCGAAATCATTTCTTTGGGGAGAACGGGGAGAAATCTAGTGAAAATCTATTATTTCCGCAAAAATACTGAGCGAAAACTACCGTCGTTAAGGCGTTGTTGATCTTATCTATGGTTGTTGATTTTGCGGTTTCCTGTGGTTTCGTCTTTTGTTTTGGCCTTTACAGGGCCTTTGAGATCGTCAAAATTGATGACATTGACAAAAAAAGTGAAATATTTTTTTCTAAGGCCAGTTTTACACTATATGAAAATTTCGTATAACAGAATCTTTAGTTTTTGCATCAGAAAATTAAGGGTTGAAAATAAAAAAGTATACAAACCTCGACGGAAAACTTCATTTCTGTCTCGAGGTTGAGTTTATCTCGACGCTTCGCGTCTCGATAAACTATAATAACCTCTCGACCAGCAATGAAGTATTTTCCGTCTCGGATTGTAATATACTATTACAAGTCAGTAGAATTATTTATTTTTGAAAAATCACAAGAATAATTGCTTGTAGGTACCTTCTGGGAGACTTTTCTGGTGATAAACTGTTGGCTACGACTGAGGCTTCATTAATAATATCTTGTAATAAATTCATTTCTGGAAAAAAATTGCAAAATGGAAATCTGTCAAAAAACCTATTTATAACTAGAAACAACGTCTTAACAACGTATCATTCTCATAGTTATACCAACTACCAAAACTTCTGTGAGAAAAAATCAAGGAAAAACATATAAATTTCAAAAAACTGTTTTACCTGGCTAATAATGTAAAATACTATTACGCGGCGCATTAGCTGTTGCGTTGCGTCGGCCGTATTACGTTCTACGTCGCGTAAAATGTGCGTTGCTAGGAAAACGCTGCTTTCTGTTTTTTTATGAAAAACTATCACCAACCAATAGCCTCGATTTCAAAAATAACAATAAACAATTGCACTGAGTGTGACACGAGTTTTTTAGCTGGTGGCGCACCAACAGCACTCAGTGCATTGCTTTCCCAATGAAATAATTGCACCGGTGTTGCATTTGCTCTACCAATAAAATATGCTATTAATGATTATGTAGTGCGACTTTTATTATAAATATTTTACTATATTTACGAATGAAACCACTAAATTGTTCATACACTTACTTCAATTTCAAATAATTCCTGGTGCACATCAGGCTGTATAACCATAGCCTCCTCACTAGATTTGCTGTCTTTTGGTGGTTGGGGATTGGTAAGCGCCCTTAAGGCAGCATCAGATTTTTCACATTGCTGCTTGAACTGGTAGGCTGTATTCAGTTTTGACTCGCAAACCGTGCATAGCAAATAAGGAAGTCCATCTCCTAAGCTTACCTACGGTAAGTACAACAGATTTGAGTGTTAATTATATTTTCAAAGTTATGGCAAATGCAAATGGTTGCCTCTTGGAGGCTTGGTTTATTAGGGGTTAATTTTGAGGTAATAATTTGTCTAAATGCTAATTATTTATCTGATATAGTACGAGTACGCCCACCTCAACAGCAGCACAGCTCATAAGCATATCGCGAAGAAGTAAATCATGATCCCCAGACTCCTTAGCATCAAAACCAATGGATTTTTCAAAAACATTTTGCATTTCGGCACTTTCGCACATACAGGACCGACATATTTTGTCGATCATCAGTTGCACATCGTCCGGAATCATCTTGGTTTTTTGGAAAATTCTATGGGAAAAAAAACATAAATGTTTTGCTTTCCTTTCGATCCTTTTTCCTATGCTTTTTCTTTCCCCTTTTGATTACTTATAATCTGACAGTTCATTGCACAAACAATTAATGACAGTTGAGTTGACACTGACAGATGTTTGTTCGATAACAGCGTGTTCCGGAAGTCGAGTCATTTGGGCTGGTTCCGTAATCCGTTTTTTTCCGAATCTATACAAGAATCTATACTAATTTTAGGAATGATGGGGTGAAACGAGGAAACTATAGAGCTATAGTCCGTCGATTTTAATCTGATACTCGGACGGAATGTGAGCTGGTGGGTGGCACCCTACATTAGAACACTGTTAGAACACCAATGGTTACCTGACGTCACACCTGTTTTTGCCATATGAAACACCCCCTCGCTCCACATACGGAAAGTGTCAGTTAAAAATCGACGAACAATATAGACTTTGGTTGATACCTCTAACCCTTTAGTTCTTTTCACGTGGCTCCGGTTTAACTAACCGGGTTACAAAACGGTTAGAGAAATGACATACCGTTTTCTAACCCGGTTACAAAGTGACGTGATGGATACCTTCCACTCGAATTTGAGCGGTATGTTGCGGTTTGTTAAACCGGAGCCACATGAAAAGGGTTTTTGAATATAAAACTACAGGAAGGAGCAGCGTTGCCAAACGTACGACAGGTGCGGTATTTGTACCACAGTTTAGGGAATGTTCGTTACAAGAAAATCAATGCGTACGGTAGTACGGTAATGTACCACAGTTTTGATATATTGGGTTGATTGGGTAATATATTATGGTAATATGTACCACACTTTTAAATTCTCCTTTTTTTCTTATGTGTGTTGGCCAAATTGGGTTAAAAATTTATAAAAGATTTTGAAAACTTGTTGCTTGAAAACAGTCTATGGGCAATTTTTCGCGAGGATAATCAAGCATAATTAATCGATTATGCTGGATTATGTGATGTATCATACTCCTCTAACTCCCCCACCATCACATTCTGGAATACTCGAGGATCAAGAACACTTAATTACTTGTGTGAAAACAGACCGAAAATATTTTTTTCTACATTTAAAATCGACGAAAAAATTAACTCACTAGCACAGCCCGAATGGCGAGCATGCCATCAAGGTCTGCGGGTGACGTCATCACTATAAGCTGCTGACAGTGACGTCACTCGCAAACCCAAAATTTGATGGAGAGGGAGTTATGCCCAATTTATGCCTCATTCTCACTTGCGCGAAATTCGTGTGAGAATTAAGCCTTAAGCTTTAGGAAAGTATGACACAATTGACACATCACATAACTCAGCATAATCAGATTATGCTTGATTATCCTCGCGAAAAATTGCCTTATAACAAGCTTGAGAAAGTTGTTATAAAATTTTTGAGCATTTATCAATGTTCGGCTTGTTAGAGGATTACTCGGATAGACATTTTTTTGACAGTAATTTTCACTTTAACGCAATTATAGAGAGTTATTGGAAGTGATATAAGGTCCAGCAGTAATAACGCAAACGCTATATTGACATCTGCGCTTGCGCAGTTGCGCCGTTGAATAAGGCTAGTTTTATTAACGTTTGTGCTAGACTTTATTACTGCACGAATAAAGTCACGCACTGATAATTAGGCAATTCAAACCACGTGACATTCAAGATGGCGTGGAGGCCACATATGGGCCAAAAAACACAGAAAAATATCTAGTTTCTGCCGGAATTAATAGTTCAGGTACCTAGTCAACAAATATTTTATTAAATAATGAAAATCAAAGTTGTAAGCAAAACTGTATGCAAAATAATTTAAAATACGCATAAAAACATATCCAAAACAAACTTGCTTGGCCGCCACGTCACATTGAATTTTCCGTTTTGACAGATGGATTGAATTGCCTAATATCGGGTCTTCAAAAAAAAAAACAATCAAAGATTGCTATGGTTTTTTAAACGTACGTCTTAGCAATATTTTTCTTTAATTTTGACAATATCAGTCAATGAAATTTAATGTCAAAATGTCATGTCAAAAATCTTGACCAATAAACAAACAATAATGCGACGTACGTTTTCGTAACCAAAGCAATCTTCGATTAGTTTTTTTTTGAAGACCCGATATAATTTGCCCTTATTTTAACGGATTTTTGAAATTGACCTTTTGTTTGGACGCCATATTGCGGTGCGCGAACATAGTTGCCAACAGTAGAATAAAAAAATACTAGCGTTCTGTCAACTTTAAAATCCAAAGTTAGTGAATAAATTACATATTATATAATTAAATTTGCCGCCTATTACGAAAGTTTTTAGAAAGAAAAGCCATCAATTTTAGCTTGTATTGGGCAGAATCGAAATAATAAAATATCTAGTTGACAGCCCGCTAGTAATTTTTGGTTTTCTTGTTTTGGCAACTATGTTCGCGCACCGCAATATGGCGTCGAAACAAAAGGTCAATTTGTCAGCAAAGCTAAGCTGTCAGATGAATACAAGGGATGAGTTCTGAAATCTGACACTTTTCTGACATCGCTGACATATAAAAACCCGTCTTCTAACCTTATAAAAATTCCAAAATGCCGACTGGTTGGCAAAAGTCACGTGGTTTGGATTCCCTTCCCAACCGCGCTTAGGTAAAACGCTATTTAAATAGGGTAGTTGTCTTATTACTGCTAGCTTTATTTTGAAATCTCCAATAACTCTCTATTGTCAACATTATAAAAGAATTTATTTCAATTTGACTTATTACCCACGAAATACTTTATTCGAGACTAATAAATAGTTTCATTCAATTTCCCGATACTTCTGTTGCTGTAATTTTTAATGCAAGGTCTATTTTCAAGTTTTCAACATTTTGCGATCTCAAAAAAATCACATTTTTTTCTAGTAAATATGTACTAAAAACGTAAGGTAATGTGTACCACAAGTATTCGTGGCGCGTACGTCCCTGTACGACAGTTTTTAAGCATTGTGTACCACACTTCCATATTTAGAGTCTGGCAACGCTGGGAAGGAGCATAACTTCGAATCTGCGCGACCAAAATATGTGGAGGTTGCATATGGCCGACTAGTATTTCCGGTTTGGCAGAGGCGTATATTTATTTAAATATGATTGTCAATATTATGACTCACTCTTTTCTCACTAATTCCAGTACTTATTATCACTTCAAACTGCTAAAATCCATTAAACATCCACTTGATGAGGACACAGCGAACCACCAAAACAAATGATGAGTCCATACTTGGAGGCTCAAAATGGCCGTTTCCGTCTCTGCGTTGTCTGTAGTGACAGATAGAAAACGCTCCTTTCTGTAGTTTTATATTCAAAGCTCTAACCGAATTTTTTTCGACGAATGTAGTTCATCAATAGTTTGTCGTGTGACGTCATGAGTTTGAACGCTGGCTAGAAGCTGCGTTCCTGCTTCCGACGAACTACGTTGAATATGACGTCATGAGTTTCTCACGAAAGGGTTTGTGTTCATGAAATCATGGAAGTAGTTCATCGCGAAAACTCGGTTTTTTTTTTGGTGTCGGCTATAAAAAAAGACTACTAACGTTCTACTACCTAATGCCTGCATCTTGGGGAAAGCTGATTGCACATTTGAAGTGATACGGTGAAACTTCAAGAATAGAGGCGTTTTCTCGCGGGGCGAATGGTTCGAACTACGGTTTAAACCAATTTGTAGATGACGTCATCACTTGTGAACGCGAGAAAATGGAAGGTTTGAACCACAGTCTTATGTCAACGGAGAACAAGCCATGAGTCCGGTTCGAACTTTTTTGAACCAGGTTCAATGTGACGTCACTGGTTCAACGCAAGAATGTACAGGTTCGAACCTAATTGAACCGGGTCGAACCAGTTCCACCGCGAGAAAACAGCTTAGATGCATGATGCATGTAGCTCATACAAAGCCAGCTCGGACTCTCAGGCGGTTAAATAGGTGTTTCTCTACAACAAACTATGATAAGAAAAATCAGAATAATAATTTGGGCGCATGCACAAGGCTTGCACAGCGCCAGCTTTATTTATACAAATACAGAAGCAAACACTTGACGATGAAGTAAATTGAGGGTAGCTGGGAGATTCTATGTATTTGGAAGTCCTATAAAAAAAAACAGCACGCATATGAGTAGCCCCCACTGATCTGTAGCCCCACGTTTGCATAGTCAGATAAAATATGAAATTATACCTACCTACTCCTAATTTTTAAAAAGTTATTAAAACTGAAAAATACTCCCACGTGAAGGTTGATCGCTCATAAAATCTTCCACTCTCCAAGTCTTAGCTTTAGTTTTTCCAAATATATTTGTTTTTTCATTATCATTCAAAATCATCCGCATTTTGGATGAGTCTACCTTGCTCATTTCCGAAGATTCTGACGTGAAAAGCTCTAGTTTCTTATTTCCTCCAGTTTGTTCAGTCAGCTGTTTCGTCGCTTCATTTAATTTCGAAAAGCACTTCTTTATATCAACTAGCACAGAAGTTTGAGTTTGTGCAGCGGATATTTCATCAATTTCTTGTGAATATGGCAAAGTTAAATAAGAGTCTAGGGGGATTTTCAAATTTTTTAATCCATCTGCTATATTTCCAGTTACAAAATGGTGTTCAAATTCTTTTTCTCTTTGAGGCAACTGGAATAAAAGACATATTTGTATTCCACTTAAATAGGAACAAAATTAATTTTCTACCTCAAATTCATAGTTCTCTTTTCTTTCGTTAATATCAGCACGAATATTTTTAAGTTCTTCATCAAGCTTAGAAAATTCATCATAAGAAAGTTTGTTAAAATTCTCCCAAATTTGTTGTTTGCTTCCCTCATCAATACTCATATATTGTTTATCTATTTTTTTCAATAGGCTTTTTAAACGTTTCAGTTCACCTACGAGCTCTTTTTCATTGCTCAACGAACTTTGATAAAACGTGAAAAGTTCAGTTAGCAACTCGTTCTGCAAATTTTTGGCTTGAAATTTCAACATTTTCAATGAACTTTTCCGTTTATCGATAAGCTCGTTGAAATACTTTGTTGAATCGTGAAATTTTTTTTCATATTCTTCAATCATTTCGTCCAAGGACTGGTCACCTGAAAATTGAATTTTAACATAAATTTCGCAGTAGATTGAAGCAAAAGTGTCTCTACTTATTAAAGGTTTTATTTCTTCATCCCACTCATCGTTTAATGGGCTGAAAGGGAAAGGATCATTTCGGTGTTCGTATTGGGTGTAATCTTGTTTTAGGGTAGACTCCAGTTCGGCAAGAATGTGAGCATTTTTCTAAAAAAAATAACATAGCGAATCAGGCAAGGTTTACAAAGGTTTTTATTTCATTTTGATGGCTTATGAAATCAATTTTTTACAACGCTTTTATAGTGAGAATTTATTTAAATTTTAAAATATGCCCTGTTCACTGTTCATGCCACAAGCTGATGCGATCTTGTAGATTGCATTAGGAGTCGTTAGTACAGCTTATTCCAGCCGCTCAAGCACTGCTACCTTTCTAAATATTTTGTGCGTGACTCTGCTTTTATAATTGGTGTCCAAGATTTGTAGGCTTTTCCCAAAGGAGACCAGCATCCTGGGTGGTAAAGTGGCCACCTCTTGGGGTGTTAGCCATACCCTTTCAAGATATTTTAGCCCTTTGCAGAAGTGAGCAAGGCATTCACAGAATAAATGTTCTGTAGTTTCTGTTGCTTGTTTGCAAGGTATGCAGTGCTCGTTCTTTGATTGGCCTATTGTTTTTAGGTGATAGGCCCAGTGAGTAAACTAACGACTGTTATATGTCTCTTCTGTCCAATCTGTCCATGTCAAGAAGTTCTTCAGATTTCTCTGCTGAGTTGGACATGAACCTTTTTTGGCCTGTCTCCGACCCCGAATGGATCTCCAATGAGCAAATTCGGTCCTTTTCGCATCTGTTCATTTCTTTGGAGACGTGGCTTTTCATTAGTCCACAAAAAGCCTCTGTGCATTGAAAAGGTGTTGAAGCGCATTGCTTTGCGAGACGGTGCGCCTCGACCGCCTCCTCTCTTATCTCTATACCCTGGTCTGGTGTCTGAATAAGGGTTACTTTATTCGCCCAGCCAGTTTCTTGAGGATATTTGTATCCTCCCAAACTAGCTGCAAATTGCACTTGATGGCTCCTAGAGCCTTTAGAGCCGCTTGACTGTCGAAGAGTAGTAGGTATGTAAATGTGCTGTCTTAAAAGGCCTCTTTCAAGGTACAGATGTTTATGGCCAGTATCTCAGCCTCAAATATTGTCGGCGTTTGTTTTACCCATTGCAAAGGAGAGTTTAAAGTTTGGTCCAGCTATTCCCAGACCAACTCTTTCCGTTACGAACCATCTGTGATGCGTTGTCCGCTTCCAATAGCTTTGTGTTCTTCCATTATTGGCATTCTTTTACAATCACTTCATATGGAATGTCGAATTCCAGTGGGTATCATGATGATCTCTGTTGGTTGACTCTAGCTTTGTAGATTGAAGGATGCCTAAAAGTGGCCATTCAGATCAGATCACCAGATTTAAATATTTTTGTCTGGAATAGCCTATAGGCCTGTTTTTCACATATAAGGTGAAGAGGAGGCATGCCTCTAATGCTGCGATGGGGCAGGTTGACGGCCCCTGTTATTCCTAAACAGATTAGCCTTATTTCTACCTCAAGTAGACTGTTCTATGCAGTAATTTGCTCAGTCTTTGGCCACCATATCAACGACTAACGAGGCGTAGGTGACAATGGTTCTGACAACCGTTTGGTGAATCCAACATGTCTTATCCCCGTGTTTTCCCACGAGTTTGCGGCATGTCCAAATGACCGCCGTAGCTCGTGATATTGTTTTGTTGAGATGGTTGTTCCAAGTAAGTTTGAGGGCCAGGGTGACCCTAAATACTGAACTTCTATTCATCATTCTATTCATTCGAGAAAGATAATTGAATTGAGTACCGTTCACAGTGGGGGCTCGCAGGTTCAGCTTCCTTCTTTCCGTAAACGGAACTAAGGTTGTTTTGCGGTGATTTATGGAAAGTTCTTCTTCCTCGCTCCAGTTTTTGATTATATATTCAAGATGCAAGGCACTTCTTTGCATTCGGCCTGTTATTATGCCTTCATGCTTGCCTGTTTGCGGTTATTACCGCCAGATCATCTACGTAGCCTAGGACAGTTATTCAGACGTTGATCTGGTGAGGATAGGCTACCACTAGTGTCCACAGAAGAGTCAAAAGGACACCACGCCTTCACCTTGTGGGCCGCGCCTTTAACCATGGTGACAGTAACTGTTTCGCCGTTCGAGTAGGTACGCCACTACTGAGCGATGTTTTAGCATGTCGTCTGTCCATTCTCATCCTATAATGGGAGCTTCTACCCCCCTATATCTTCAAGAGCTTTTTTGATAGACCAGTGTGAGCTTTGAATATAAAACTACAGGAAGGAGCATAACCTCGAATCTGCGCGACCGAATATGTGGAAGTTGCATATGGCCGACTGGTTTGGCAGTGGCGTATATTTATTTAAATATGATTGTCAATTTTGTGACACACTCTTTTCGCACTTATCCCAGTGCTTATTATCACTTAAAACCGCTAAAATCCATTAAACATCCACTTGAATGAGAACACAGCGAACCACCAAAATAAATGATGAGTCATACTTGGAGGCTCAATATGGCCGTTTCCGTCCCTGCGGTTCCTGTAGTGACAGATAGAAAACGCTCCTTCCTGGTAGTTTTATATTCAAAGGGTGTGAGGTGTTATAAAGGCACCTTCTATATCTATAAAAGTTGCAAGAGCGATTTCTTTTGCCTCAAGTGCCTTTTTCTATGTCTGTTACTAGACAATGGGGTAAGTAGAGTATACTGGTCACCTGAAATGTGTGAAAATTTGTTTGGTAAATATCCAAATAAAGCATTTTAAAGAAAAATTTTCACCAGAAATCTTTAATTGAAAAATTACAAATTAAAATTGTAGGTACTAAAAATACTGTTTATTTGCAACTGAGCTATAATGCACTTTTTCCCCTAAATAAATATGCAGTATAGCCCGGTCACCTAAAGAGTTTTTTATTTAATTAAGAAGATACAGATTAACTCAAACTAACCCTTACTAACCCGTCCGGATAGTGCTAGCTAGTCCGCATAAGTAAACTACTGTTTATTTGTAACCGCGACCTATAGGTACTGCACTTTTTCCCCTAAATAAGTATGCAGTATAGCCCGGTCACCTACACTTTTTTTTTAATGAATATCATTTGTGTATAACGTCCAAATAGTGAATCAATGACGAAATTATTGAGTTTTCCGCCTAGTATGTTTTATCACGATGTCTTATCTAGATTTTGAAGCAAAGTTTACCTAACATAATTTTTTGATTTTGATTGACCAGGCTATACTACATAATTACTTAGAGGAAAAAGTGATGTAGTATAGCTCGGTTACAAATAAAATTATTCTTTTATTGTTTATAATGAAATTACATTCATATTTCATATAACAAGGTATAGCAAAACGCACTCAAGTACTCTATTTAATTAGTTAGATGGTAAATGGCGAGCCGTATATTGATGGTGTTTATTTCCTTGAGCGGCTACCTATAAAATTGTGGAGGGGGTCTATTCGCAAAATAGAGAAACAAACTATTGAGGTTTACTAAATTATATTTTATTATACTTAAAACCAAAATTAAAATAAGCAAATATCTTTTTATGTCTGACAGCCACTTCTATTTTTCCCAACTCAATTATTTCACATCCATTCAAATTTCATTACTACGGACCAGGAAATATCCATACAAAAAAAAACCGCCCTACTTCTTCTTTTCCTAATAACTTATAAGTTTATACATTACAACACTTCCGATTCACATTCCTATTTAAGCTACCCTCCACCAATATTTATAAATTCTTAAAACTCCCTGAGTCATTTACTGACTGCTTATACAAAATAATTATTTAAGTCATAATCCGACTCACTGGATTAAATATATACAGGGTGTCCCACGGTGGATTGCGTATTAGACGTTTATGGAGAACTAAAAAGCGGATCATTTTGAAAATTTGGCAACCGGAATAAATGACCGTGATCTACACTTTAAAAATATTTTTGACCATGCGGTGTTGCCGCTTCTACTCTAAACTAGTGGCAGCATCGCTAGTTTAAATAGAATACCCTATATCTGATTGCATAATTGGATTCTATGTAAAATTCTGAGCAGATTTCATGTGATATACCCTATACCTAAGTTCAACTGTTTTGGAAATATTGACAGTTGAAAATTCACTTTTTGCAACTTTGACAGGCTCTAAAACCTGAACGGTTAATTCTAGAGGAAAACCGATTTTACATTCCTATCTTAGATTTTGATAAACTATCATTTGACACCAACTTTGAACTTAACCGGAGATTAAATTTAACTCAAATTTTTAATCATGGATTTAATTCAAAGTTGGTGTCAAATGATAGTTTATAAAAATCTAAGATAGGAATGTAAAATCGGTTTTCCTCTAAAATTAACCGTTCAGGTTTTACAGCCTGTCAAAGTTGCAAAAAGCCAATTTTCAACTGTCAATATTTCCAAAACAGTTGAGCTTAGGTATAGGGTATATCACATGAAATTTGCTCAGAATTTTACGTAGAATCCAAATATGCAATCACATACGGGGTGTTCCATTTAAAATAGTGATGTTGCCACTAGTTTAAAGTAGAAGCGGCAACACCGCATGGTCAAAAATATTTTTAAAGTGTAGATCATGGTCGTTTATCCCGGTTGCCAAATTTTCAAAATGATCCGCTTTTTAGTTCTCCATAAACGTCTAATACGCCATCCACCGTGGGACACCCTGTATGTATTACCAACTATATTTTTATAAAAACCTTACAATAATTTCTAAATGAAAAAAAAACCGTAATTCAAAATTTCAGCACTTAAGGTCATCAATGGTACTTTATGAACAACAATTTTCAAACAAAATTTTCCCATATTTTTAATGATTTATTCTTTTACTTTTAGTGGTTCCCATCCTTCACTAAGGATCATTTTTAACAGAACAATTACTATACTCGGATTCCTAGCCAACAAACACAATAGGGTACTTGCATGGAAAATTAAATTGATTATTGTTTATTGCAAACTGTAGGAAATCGAAAAAAAATCGTAACTTTTTTTAAATTTCTCCCAAATATGATTATTCCGGAAGTTATACAAATATTGAGTTTTGTATATATAGATATACTGAGCACATGGGCGTCGTTTGGGGGGGGCAAGGGGGGGCATTTGCCCACCCTTCTAGAAA